TCCAGTGAAATATATTTATGTTTGTGGTTGTAATGTGACAAAATATGGAAAAGTTCAAGGGGTATGAATACTTTTGCAAACCACTGTATATGTTTTGTAGCATCTCAGATGAGATCTAACACATTGAGATCTGAACTGTGCATAAAGTACCAGAGAGACTTACTGCTGCATGAAGTCATGCACCTCAGGGTTGACCCTTTCAATGATAGGCATCAGATAGTTAAGAATGTGTTTAGTATTATCCATTGTAGGATCCATAAAGTCCCTGCAAAAAAACAGGACAAAACAAAAAGGAAGTCCACAAAAATTTGACATTTATTTAAAGCACAAACTTATCAGGAAGCAGTGCACACAAACAAAAAGTGAAAAGGTCTTTTAACGATTAAAAAGTTGCCATTTAAGTTGATATTTAGGACAGATACCTGAGGTGATGGGTTGAGAGCTTCTCTACGAGAACGGATGCCAGGCGCTCTCCCACAACTAACAGGAAGGTGACAACAATGTCATGGTATCCTTGGTAATAGTGCAGCTGAGGATTTCGTTTCAGGACTCTGAGGATAATGTCAATTAGCGCTTCCTGAAGACCCTCTCTCTGCTCATCTGGCATGCCTGAACAAAACCATTACCAATGATAGTTGTTGTTTTTTTTATAGATTATGGGCATGTCATTATCAAAATTCCAACAAATGTGCAAATAAAAAAAAAAACAATTTAAAAACAGTTTAGTTGTGCTTTCCTGGAACTAGCCTTTAGCGGTGTACAAATAAAAATAAAGAAAGATATTTTACTGTGCAGTACCTTAATAATATGTAAACTTACAAACTAATAAAATACACATGCAATTAGTTCAAAACTCTGTGATGGTATAAATACAACTACTAGAGTTATATTTTTCAAATTGTACCTACTGAAAAAAAATCCTAGCATTCCAAGAACATTTTTGTTTACAATAAACTATTTTTTAATACAAAAAAAGTTTGGAAGTTGGCACAAATCAAACTATAAACAGAATTGCTTAAGCTGCACTGTGTGGCTATTTTACCTCTGGCCAGAAAAATCAGTGTGTCCAACTACGTTCTGCATGGTATTACATCAACAAATTGCAATAAAAAAAAGTCGTGCAGAGTATTGCTTTTCAAATTTAAAGATTGGGAAATTCTGTCTGGAAGTTAAGTTGACTTTCAGTAAAATTCAGAAACGTTATTATTTTGTTTTTCACCTTTTATTAAGTGACAAAAGCTGTAGTTGTTGGTTACCATCTACTGCAGTGCTCTAAAATGTAAAGCAGTCTTAGCTTAACTGGCCAATGAGCAGAGACTAAACATTAGAAATACTGTTCTGCATTTCAGAGTACCACTACCTGTGATGTGCAATATCATGCAAAAACTTAAAACACTTTTTTAAAAAATGTTTCTGATGACTAAATGCAGAATTCATTGCAGAATGTTTGAAGAAGTCTGCATTATGCTCAAGTACACAATGTACACAGAACAGTTAGTAAAGGCAGATTCTCTTGGACAGCCTACCTGGTGGAAACCTTCGCAGTGAGCGTTGGACATCCAGCAAGACCTGGTTGTAGTCTTTATTGTTTTCTCGCTCTACTTTTTCTGGACAGGATATATTAGAATTAGCAAACACCGTATGTGGGAGAGCTTGCATTGCTTTACGCTCTGTCAGCTAACACATGAGATGAATAGTGCAAAAGTGAAGGAACATGCAGATACATGAAAATTACTGACCTGCATAGCCATGCTCATAAGTAAAAGTAAGTATTAGTAAAAAAAACGCATACCAGGCTCTTGATCCAGGAGGTGAGGGGGGACGTTGAGGAGCCTGGGCCAGACTTGACAGCGGATTTCATCAGTCAGCAGTCCTCCTTCACTGATAGCCATCCTCCTTAAAGTTGCCACATCCACCGGATCCACACTGAGGGCCTGTGTGATGTCTGCAATTTTTCGTTTCCTCCTGCTGTCCCAGTCTACAAA